TTTTATACAACTTTTCAGTAAAATCAGACGTTTTGATTGGTTGGCTTTCGTGTGTTATCAAAGTATAGATACACGGATTACGTCAAAACTAATTGTTTGTTGTATAAAACAGATAGATCTCATTTTTCCGTGCGTGTGTACTCTAATAGATACACAGATGACGTCAAAATGTAGTGAGAACAAAAAAGTACGCACGAGACGCAGTCGAGTGCGTGACTGTTGTTCTCACTACATTTTGACGTCATCTGTGTATCTATTAGAGTACACACGCACGGAAAAATGAGATCTATCTGTTTTATACAACAAACAATTAGTTTTGACGTAATCCGTGTATCTATACTTTGATAACACACGAAAGCCAACCAATCAAAACGTCTGATTTTACTGAAAAGTTGTATAAAGGATATTACATGGACCCGCGGGGATACGGATTTTATCTTCAAGTGTTGAAGAGAGATTTTCAACACGAGAAGATAAAATTCATATCTCCAAGCGACCACGTAGTATTCTGTTTATCATATAATTGGATATGAACGCAAATTATGTCGTAAAATACCTTTTTTCTTACTTTCACTATATAGAGAAACCTCAAATGTGTTATTTTCACTAGTGAAAATATCAATTTTACGAAATGGAGAAATATAGGTATTTCATAGATAATTATATGATAAATATATATATATTAGAGGGGGGAGGGGCTGGTGCATTAGACACATTTTCTTTTGGCCCTGAGCTTCCAAATGCACAAAATTGCAAAGATAAAGCAGAGCATTTGATTCAAAATTGTTTTTTTTAATAAAATACATTTCACCTTAATGTCCTGTGTTGCTGATGATATTTAACATTGCTGTGTGAGATTTTGAAGGGATTTAGAGCTACTTTTAAAATTGAATCAAATGCTCTGCTTGGGTTGCCTGTGTTACAACCAGCTTTGTTCGTTTCATTTCAGACCTTAGGATTTCTAGTAGCGATGACTAAGGTAACAAGGTTTTCGTATAATAATTATAAATTTTATTCTTATATYGTTATCCATTTCATTAAAGTGCAAGTCACTATCTACTACATCAATAAAATTAATTAATTAATTTGCTTTTCTCATAAAATGTTTTATTAGCTGCCACCATCAGCCGCCGCGACGTAAGTTTTCAAATTAAGCCAATTTAATTGTTAAATTCAAGGCATTGTTATTAGCAACATGCCTCACCACCTCTCCATAATTAATAAGAATTTGTAAAAAATTGCATTATATGTCTGAATGGATCAAGGAGTATCACCCTTGCGTTACCAGGTAACGGCAACCATGGTTACCTCATATACCACTGAAAAATAGCTTGGAATATAATAAGAAAAGAAATCACAACCCAATCCTTAAATTGTAAAGAAGCTATTTCGTCCTGATGTGAACTATAATGCTTTCTGAGGTCGTTACGGATAGCTCGCATTTGCTGGACACATTCTTTTTGAAGGTCTTTTAGTGGTTGGATGGTCTTTTCCAGTGTGGCTTGGTCTACTCCTTCCTTGATGCTAACATCATCATAATCGTCTTCTATACTGCTTGCATTACCTTCCAAGTCAGGAGTCGACGCCCCTGAATGGTCGGCTGAGTTTCTACGAGATCCCTTTGCCACGCCCAACCGGGATCTACCCGATGAAGGTCGTTTTCTCTTGGAAGACTTCTTTGAAGCACCGGGTGTATTAACACTTAGTATACTAGTAGTACGGATCATAGGGGCTTTTAGACGGTACCGGGTCTTGATAATACCGTCATGCTCGTATTCCTGTAGATCTGTCATATTGTCCCACTGACGAACACTGCAATTCAACAATACATTATTTCTCCAAATTAGTAAATGCAACGTTATACACGCCTCTTGGATTGAGTAGTCTCCTCACAGGTGTGTTTAGTTTTGCTAAACACAACCGCAAGGAGACTACGGATTGAGCTGTTTGTCCTATTTCATATCCTTCCATCCATATTCTTGGCAGGCGTGGATGGAAAACAAAGAACTATATATATAACGGGTTTGAATACATCTAACATTCTCAAGCTGTGGAGGCCTTTTGTGTTATAAACATGAAAACATTCTAATATATTAGGAGTGTAAGAGGGTATCAAGAAAGTGCAAGACATACTCAGTGTACTTGTAAACCCATCGGTTGATACATCCATCTGCATCTGGTGGTTGTTCAAATAGTTTGGGTACCCATGACACGCCTTTCTCTTTACGTTCCCTGTGACCTTTACGCTGAGCTTCCTCCAGATAAAACTTCTCTACTGTTGCCTTTTCCTACACAATAAGAAATGAATAAATAATCTATCAAACAACGAATCAATCAATCAACTTACTCAACAACTTATCAATCAAACAGCTTACTCAAAAACTTATCAATCAAACAACTTACTCAACAACCTATCAATCAATCAATAAATCAAGCTAATCAACCCATCTATCAAACTTACTCAACAACTTTCCAATCAATCAAACAACTTACCCAACAACCCATCTATCAACCAAACAACTTACTTAACAACTTATCAATCAATCAATTAATCAATCAACCAACCTAAACAAATTGCAAATCCACCAAACACATTAATCGATCAACTATCAAACAATAAATCAATACACCAACCAAGCAGTTAACCAATGAAACAAAACAACTAGAAACACAAAATAAGTCCAAATGACGCACCTGATCACTGGCTCTAATAGCATTGCTTACATGGATCCATTGCCTAAGAAAATAATCAACTTGTAAGCTTGTATCCAACAGTTGCTGTCAGAGTAAGAGTCGACTTACTTTTCGGACTCATTGTCTTTCTGTTTGTCAAAGTCTACTAAATGGCGCTTAAGACGCTGAGCTTTGACATCAGGTGTAGGCTCCCAAAACAGATCAGGTAAAACATCCTCCTCCTTTGCAAACAAATAGTTAAATAGCAACATTAAAATTGTGTTTGAATTTTTACATTTTTGTATTTTTCATGTTCTGACTCGAAGAGTGCAAAGAAAAACATGCATTGTCAGACCTGCAAGTACTTACAGATAAGTTAGAGGACTTCAAATCTTCAATAATAATCTCTCCATCCTGAAAAAAGAAACATATTAGACATTACAAAGTTACCTTATCCTGAATCACAACTTTTATCAAGTGAGCACAGCTCTTATGTTTTGAAAATAACTTTAAAAACTAGAACACAAGGTCCCGTGAACTACAAGTTGAGTCCACGAGGAGGTACTATGCACTAAACTATAAAAACAAATTTGAAAAAAAGACCAGAAAGAAAATTTTTTCAACATTATTTCAGCTTTTTTCAATACATCAACAAGACTATGGTCTATCACAAATAGCTAATCAGAATGCTGGGTTTGGGATAGATTGTGAGATGGTTTAAAAGTTGTAAAAAGGTATGCTTACCCATTTGCCTTCAATTTTACACAACGTTTGATTTCCCATCTTGATTTTACCAGCTATATAGTTAGACTCACCACTCTTTTTCCAGAATGGCTGCAAAAGTTTTAATGAAAAAAGTTATTAACAACTATATTCTTGATACAAATCATAGTTCGGTAATGATATATCATGGGTTCCCTGTGTAATTACATGACGGATAACAGGTTACATGAGAATCTTTTGTTAATTAAATAAAGTCAACCTTGTGTTTGTACCTTTAATTTGAATTCTATTTCTGCCTTGTACCCAGTCTTCTCACAGTTAATAGTCACTGTGCCACCAAGCTCAAAGGTTAAAGTACCAATCAAAATACCTACATAGCAATCATATACTAACTGTAAGTCATCATACTATTGAATATATCAATCATAAAATTACAAAAACATTGACCTCAGAATTATGGATTTGGGAAATTAAGAATATATCAAATGACAGAAATTAACCACTGAAGCTGAACACTTTCTTTTGCATTTTCTTAAAAAAAGTCCTAAAAAACAAAAAGTCTTTTTATTGGTCAATGTTTGTATATTAGGTGTACACACTTAATTCCGTGTTCTCTGAAACAATGAGAGGACAATATTATGTTAAACAAGTAGATTCCGTTTTTGAGTGTCTGTGCTCTCTATGATTACTTATAGATACACAGATTACATCAAATCCTCATCACTTATTGACATCATCTGTACATCTATGAGTAAGAAAAAAAAGGAAAAATAAAACAGCAAGATTCATACACAGTATCATTAATGATATTTTTATGAAAGAGCAATTGGTACGGGATATGTACTTGGCTATGTTAGGTAGTTCACTACAAAAATAGTCTAAGCTAAGTGTCAGTTGAAATGTGGTACCTTTACAGTGGGCATATGGCATGGTCATCAAGTATTCTTCTCCATATTTCAATAGAGTCAGAGTAGCAGTACCATCTAAGATGGCTGATGTAGAGTTACCTGAAACACAAACCCTTCCATCAAAGTCTTGGTTTTAAAGGAAAAAATAACATACAATCATATGAATGATATTGGATAAGCAGCAAAGTGAGTGCCATCCTCAACTCCCATGCACTGTTCATGTACCAAAAAATGTTTTCGTTTTGCTTTAATTGCTTTTTTTATGCAAGTATTTATTTCATTTATTTTTTGTTTTTGTTTTGTTTTGTTTTGCCAATTTCACCACTAGGATTTGAGCTTTTCTTTTTTCTTTGTTTTTGTTTTTGTCTTTTTTGTTTTTGACTGAGAAAGAAGAGCCAAAAAAAAAAACAACAACTAACTAATGAACTCAAATCATAAAATAATCTAGTGAGTAGAATCAGCTTTACAACTGATAATCTGCTCAGCCTGGTATACTCCGGCTATCCTCACTACACTAGAGATTCTTACCATAGAATTTGGACTTGGCCAAGATAGACCCATTGAATACATAACCATCACGACGGTTAGAAACATAGAATGCTGACACAGGAGGATGATGGGATACTTGTTCAGAAACAAAGAAAGTCTTTGTACCAGATGGGTTTTTCCAGTAACAACGGAATGTTTCACCAATGATAGGGTTATAAGGCTTCTTAAGACCCTGAAATTCAATTTATTTATATTAATATTAATTTCATCTTGATTTCATTTGGTCTTGACGCACAAAATCAGCTTGTATTGTCTGTAAAACTAGTTTCGTTTTATTGAAAACCTCCTCAGTTACAAGACTTGCAAGACTTTTAAGACTTGTAACTGAGGAGGTTTTTAATAAAACGAAACTAGTTTTACAGACAATACAAACTGATTTTGTGCGTCAAAACCAAATGAAATCAAGATGAAATTAATATCAAAGTCTTGTAAGGCCAAAATACTCAATATATCAAAGTATATTAATATTATATCTTAATTTTGAATATTTTCAAATACAAATTGTAGATACAAAATAAGTACTTTCGATATAATTCATCATTCAAGTAAAATAAAGCATAAAAGCAAAGAATATAACTTTTGGTGACGTATCACCCCATGGTTCAACTTCAACTTTGTAACTTGATTTTATTTGTACATTTCAAATCATATTGTAATAACAAGTCAACAGAACTCTAGTTCCAGCTCCCCATCCCCTTTCAAGAAGACATTCAGGTAACTGTGATTTCCATGACACAACAGTTGCATATTGACTGCTTCTAGGTTAGGGACAAGTTGGTTTTTGCTGTATATTTATTTACAATTATCTTATTTCTAAATAAATTTATTTACTGTAAATGCTTTGAAATATACATGCAAATAAACAATACTGCATTGTTGTAAGCATCTTTTCATACCTTTGGTTTCTTATAAAACCCAGAAAGATACCATCTCACTACTTCTTTCATGCGTTCATAAGCACACTCTTCACTTGCTGCCCTATAAAGACATAAATCAGGTCAATTTGGAAGTATTAACAAGGCATTAGATAAAATAGTGAAACCATCAAATTACAAATAATAGAAATGACAATTGTAAAAACAGGAATTTATATTTTGTGGTCAATCTATTATCATTATTATTCCAGAATAGGAAGACAACAGTGTGACTAACACTACAGTGACCACCAAAGAAATGTCTTTACAAAGTTAGCCAATCAGAGTTCAAGGACTGTTAGTTTGATTGAAAGGCATGATGACACAAATATTTTTATGGTATCAGTCATTACAAATAGATTATGTGGCTGGAAAACAGTCTGCAGTGTTGATGTTTTTGATACAGAATTCATCTGCTAATAGTAAGATATTCGTAACAGTCTAAAAAAGGAAGGGGTCCCCCAATCACAATCACTGTCCACCAAGCTAATTTGAAGGGGGTTTGCCAGGTATCTTCTATTTCTGTCCTTTTAACTTACTTTTTCAAGATGTAGCAATGGTAGTAGAAATCTGATAGTTTGTCTAGGAAGGACCTTGGTTCTAATATAAAGGTAGGTAGGGTAACTCTAGAAAGGTCCATACCAGGCTTGACCTGGAAAACAGTGTTATAATCATACAAGTCAACAGCTTTACTAAAGACCATCCAAAAAAATATAATGCAAAATGTCAGAGAAAACACCAATTGAATAGTAGTATTAAGAAGTAATTATTGTTTTATGGTGAGGAAGTTGACATATTATTAAAAAAATTGCCTGTGTTACATTCAGTTTTATTTGCCAAAAGAACTGTCTGCATATTATTGCAGGAATTTGTGTTCTAGACCACCAGCAGAGTTGCACAGTTATATATAACAGGCTCTCTTTGGCTGCTGTACCAACTCAATCTTACGTACATGTTTTGAGCATATACAGTGTCAATCCCATTAATGTTTTTCAGTGGTAAAGACATAAAAGAAAAAAGGTAAAAACATAAAAAAGACAACAACAAAGTCGTTTGCATATCATAATCATTTTTAACTTCTTTGCAAAAATATTCAAGTAACATAAAGTTCCAAAACTTCTTTATAATGTCAATAACATTTCATTTGCTATAATTCATTTTAAGTTCAAAATTGCAATTTATTCAAATGTTGTTTTTTTTTTGTTGTCTTTATGTCTTGACAAGTGAACATTGTTAATGGGAGGTTTAGATATTGAAATGCACTGTTTCCATGAATTACTCTAATAATTCTAACCTGTTTTAATAATGCCCATAGAATGCTTTTATTGTCATCTTCTATTTCTTCTGTAGCTTCTCCCTCCTGTTGACAAACACATCAAACAACATTAAATTTTCTACTTCAATTAACAAGTAACAATTTTTTTTGGAGAAAGTACATAAATATAATAATCCTTTTTCTCCCCATACAAAGTCTGATGATCATGGCGTACCCACCTGCCCAAGGTATTCTTCTCCTTTCTCTTCTACATACACAGTCTCTTCAAATGGCTCTTCTTCTTCTGGTTCTAAGGACAAGAAAATGAACTCCTGCTATTTCCTTTCCTTTCATTAATTTTGTAATTCATCCATTGAATAATCAGCCAGCCATCCATCCTCATTGCTTCATTCATTGACTTCATGACCACAAATTTTTTATTATCAATTAACTCATTGACCTCTTTCATTCATTCATTCAATTTGTACCTTGTCTCTCAGGTCCTACAATGTCTTCCTTCTCATCTTCTGAATCAGACTTTTCCTATGTGAAAAAACATGGTTGAAGAAATATTTCATTTCATGAAGAAATGACCATGTGTGTTTCTGTTGTCTGGTACTATACATAGTGGGAGAAGAACAACACAAGAGAGGCAAGCCTATGTAGGTACATGGGTATAGTGACTATGTTTATATATATTAAGAGGACAGAGACACAAGCAGCTGTTTTACATCTCTTTGTATTTGGTTTTTACCATCAGCAAACCATGATCTGCAAAGTGCAAGTTGTATCTCAACCTTTTTTTCATATATTAAAAAAAACTTTATTGAAAAAATTGATAAAAGTATCAATATAGTATCTTGACAACTTTATAATTTCAGACACTATAAATAACATACATGACAAACATACACATTGTGCGCAACAATCTGCATGTCACATAGTGAGCCGAACCAACAGCCAAAAAGTAGATTTTTTATAGTTTTAAGTACTATCCATTTAAAAATGAACAAGATTTTTTTCGCAAAATGTTCCTATGTATTTTGACCTGGAAGAGTTTCCAGGAGATTCTGATAAAACCAATAGATTCTTATATAAAGGCTATACTCACTATGCCATCATTGCTGTCTTCCCCATCATCTGCATCTTCTGAAGATGTGAAAAATACAACTTCTTATGATGATCATCACAAGTGCAACAGAAGGACAAACAAATTCTCATGATGTGTACCAGATCAGACAGGGGGGGGGGGACATTTCTAAGATTGAGAAGAATATGGAGGGGAGGGATACAATATCTTTACCTGGGACAGTAGGCTCTTCTCTACTCTCTTCCTTGCCGTACAGGTCACTTACCCTTCATAATAAACAAATTAAACAATAAATGTAAGATTGAAAGAATTGATAAATGAAATAATATAGGCTTGTATGTCAGTGTATATAAAAAATTGGAAGAGAAAATTGCATGTGTTTTAAGTCAGAATTTGTCTGCAATGTAAATGATTTGTATGGTACAGATAATCTTTTATACTTACATTCCTTTTGAGTCTCTAAGTAGATGATAACCTTGTCGTTGACCAACTTCTATAGCATCCATCCAACACCTACCTTTGAAACAATCAACATATTAACTGGATGAGTTTACAGTTTTCTTTAAAAAAGAATGTACAATATTACTACATTCTATTGCCTTTCTCAACCAAAAGCAATACTTTCATAAATTAAAAATTAGAATGTGCTAAGTGATGTCGTCACTTGTGGCAAATGAAAATGGCAAAATTGGATCACTAAACAATATTCCACACTGAAAAGTTGACCCAAAATTTTGCTAAAATTTGTTGTTACACATCATTGATTAGAAGTCATTAATTTGAAGTCTGTCAAAATAATTTAGCCTGCGTTACATCTGGTTATATTTGCCAAAAGAACTGGTCAAGAATATCAGTCAAGAAAGAGAACATTAAAGTGAGAGTCTAGTGGACATCAAAACACTCCTCCCGGAATCAAGCCGATGATCTTAAGTCACTCAGTAAGATGTTGGTACGAGGAACTTATAAACAGATTGCAAATGCCATATGGAACTAAAAACCCTCGTTAGAATGACCTCTAACCTCTATTACCAAAACATTCAATATTCTGAGTAGGACTATTTCGAGCTTCTTAGCGAATAAGATTGAGCATGTAAGATTGAGTTGATACAGCAGCCAATGAGAGCCTGTTATATATAACCGTGCAACTCTGCTGGTGGTCTAGAACACAAATTCCTGCAATAATATGCAGACGGTTCTTTTGGCAAATAAAACCGGGTGTAACGCGGGCTAAAATAGTTGAAACTACCAAAAAACACCAGAAGTGTTCAAACATTTTTTGTTGTCTTTCTTATGTTTGATCATCTAAAACTCCAACTGAACAAGAATATTGGACAACCATAGAATACCGTAAAAATTGTTATGTAAACCAATATTATTTGATTTTAAGACCACATTGTTGGATTTTATTAGATGGTGCTTCAAACATGTCATGTTGACTGGAGGTTTGAAGGTGAAGTTTGATGATCACACACTTGTTCTTCAAGTAGGGCTTAATACACATCAATGTGCTGGATTCTTCACATTTGGCTTACACTTTTGAAAATAAAAATCATTGATAAATCAAGATCACTTACCATCAGATTCAGTCAAAGCCCTCATTATAAGATGGTCCTTTGGTAATGGTTGCACAATTGCCCCTGCTAGCTCCCCCTTAGGTCCTTTTGTTGCCCATATATAGTGTTCCAAAGGGTTGTAAAGCTTGAAGCAAAATCCCTCTTTCTTTGATGGTCTCTCTATCAGCTCACAAGAGTTTAATAATACTGTACCTATCCATTGTCGACGCTGAAAGTAAAACAAATCATCTATGGGTCAAAATCTCAGTATACAAACATTTAAAAAAAGATTTTTCTGATAATTTTGTTCTCCTACAGGTTTGCTCAAAGGTTGATTAGCAGTAATTCTCTGTTAAATCTTAGAAGACGTATGGAATTAACCTGGATTACTGATAATTAGAGGACGTATGGAGTTAACCTGGATTACTGATAATTAGAAGACGTATGGAGTTAACCTGGATTACTGATAATTAGAAGACACATGGAGTTAACCTGGATTACTGATAATTAGAAGACGTATGGAGTTAACCTGGATTACTGATAATTAGAAGACGTATGGAGTTAACCTGGATTACTGATAATTAGAAGACGTATGGAGTTAACCTGGATTACTGATAATTAGAAGACACATGGAGTTAACCTGGATTACTGATAATTAGAAGACGTATGGAGTTAACCTGGATTACTGATAATTAGAAGACACATGGAGTTAACCTGGATTACTGATAATTAGAAGACGTATGGAGTTAACCTGGATTACTGATAATTAGAAGACGTATGGAGTTAACCTGGATTACTGATAATTAGAAGACGTATGGAGTTAACCTGGATTACTGATAATTAGAAGACGTATGGAGTT